CAAGGAAAAAAAAAACAAAAGAATCGCCGTGATACACGACCTTGTTTGTTGGATAAACGGGGAATCGAGCCCCGGACCACTCCCAGGAAGACGAATCCTGAATTCGCCCTTGATGATGTAATCTGGAGTGGTAACCGGCCTTTGAAGGCAGATGAGTGAGGGGAGGAAACAAGCCTCAGGGGCACAAAGAAGGGGTTGCAACCGCCGAACTCTTCCGCCACTGACCATAGAACGACGTTACCCGTACGGAAGCACGGCATATATAGTCAGCTGCCGCGAGTGAGGGTATGACATCCGGAGCTGCATGGCGATAATTGGTACAGCGTGGGCACGCCCCAAGAACGAATCGGCTCCTCAAGTGCTCCCACGACCAAAGGCAACCGTCCCCGATGATGTCATATGCCCAGACACCGGGTATCGAGGCCGCGCGAACCACAGGAGGGCGGTATATCAAAATAGGATAGAAGGGCATCAGGCGACAGGATGAGTGAAGCCGATAGGCAAGCAGGCAGTCGAAGCAAAAACGAGGCGGCAGCTGGGATCTGCAGAGGCCTGCAGAGGCCTGCAGAGGCCCGATTACCTTGCAGGGCGGAATTATTCATAGGCTCCGGGCCAGGACACAGCACCTTCCGGTAGGCCAACTCTTTGACTGAATGGTCCAGATGTCACGGCGTCTTGTTCGTACAACACGGCTGACCTCGCCGGTGCAGGAGAAAGGACCAATGCTCAGACGAGGCTCGAGGTTGGCCGGGTTATCCCTTTTGGGCCGGTGGCTGTCGGTGCAGAGCAATATTGGCACACTTGTAGATGGCATCTCCTCTAATAATGTGCTGTTGAGCACTAGACCCTGAGGTGGCCGGGCCATTTCCGCCTCGCTCTTTGAGTAAGCCATCACAGAGGTCACGTTCGAGTGTGCTTCTCACCGCTAGAGCGTACTTCTTGTTGCACGGCACAGCGGCCACAGCCTAGGGCTCTGGTCCGGGTCGCGAGATCAAGTTCCGGAGATCAAACCTCTCTAGAGATGAACAACAACATGGATGCGTGGGGGCGGCCAATTTGGAAGCGGGGATATCTGAACGTGCGCAATTTATTTTTATTTTTTATTATTTTTTATTTATTTTTTTTTAAAATTTTTTTTCATGTGTTGTCTCTTGCCTCGCCCGGATGCAGCATTGTGCCATCGCAAGGCCATCGTGATGCCAAATTGTATATAAAGGCCGCGCCCTACTTGGGGGCAAATGGAATGCCTTTCTAGCTGTTCTATTCTAGGACTTGATTTCCTACTTGCACATAGCCACCAAATTCTTGACTGCCATCATCGTCAGTCTATTTTGATAATAATAAAAACAAGAAGACTCCATTTGAATCATCATCAGCAGCTGCCTACCTAGGTAGCTATATGAGAGCCTCCGTCTTCATTGCAAGTATAGACAACTTCCCGCAAATGCTAGGATGGCCACTCTTACTCCGGAAGCAATCGTTGCCATTGTGGGCTTGGTGATTGCTCTGCCGCCGACTGTTGTTGTTGTCGTTCGCTTGCTTTGGCGCTGGTACGGCACAGGGGCTCCGGGTCAGCAGCACATGAGCAATAGCCAGGATGGTATGTACAAGTCCGGCAAGCTGTTTCGGCTGTTTTGTCTAACTGGTAGAAAAAAACTATAAAAAAAATAGAAGAGGCAGCAATGACAGTGCAGCCTCAACAGCAACCGTATTGGTACGCTGTTGAAGGGGATCCGAGGTTGCGAGGAGATCCCTGCCCGAGACGTATTAGCACCCGCGAAGCCATGCATATCACTCGATATCAGCGAAGTGAAATTTACAACATGGACGTCACGCCATGGTAGGATGTAAAAGGTCCATTGGTACAGCCGACGGCAGGCTACTATTCATACACAATATTGCATCAACCTGACAAGTTTGCAGTTAGCGGACGCAGGCAAGTAGAATACCAGACCCTTTCTCAAGTCCCAAACATCTCTCTCATGCCGGAACAGCGACGCACCCAGTCAAACAGATCAATGCAGAGGGTCGATAGCTTGCATGTGTGCATGTTTAAGCCGTGTTCCAAGACCAAACCGAAGCTGCATCAGCCAGGCGCCATTCTCCACCTTCAAATCGTACTACATGGCCATGGCTTGCTTACCCGCCTGAGCATGAAGAACGTGCACATGTCTGGTGGCAGCAGGCTTAATCCCAATGACGACATTTCTGGACATCCAGGCCCAGTGAGCCCCTGTTCCAAGAGGCCTCACGGCGTCACACCTTGGGAGAGCTTCGGCGCTTGCTGGTCCAACCGCTGCCAAGGATGGAGATGAAAGGGCGTTTGATGCTTAATTTGTCGCCGTGCTCGAACGCGGGTGGTTCCATTCATTTCGTGAGTCTCGTTGATTTCCCTTTATGTATTTCCTTTTCTGGGGTTTGTCAAAGGAGGACAGGGTGTAACGCGCCTTTGAATTTTGAGAGAGAATTGCCAGCAATTTGAAGTGTATTGCGCAGGCTTGGATGAAGAGAGAGAGGCCGCCCGCCTGCCCAAGATCCAGGTCGAGCTCCTCAAAGCTACGTACCTTAGTCTTGCCCCGCGATCTGCCCTTGGACTTTTGGCCTTGGACTACGCACGCGGCTGAACCGACGACGTTGGAACATCGTCACCATCCAAGCCTTGATTTTTGCTCTACACCCCATTGAAGCTAGCGCTCTTCTTTGCGACCGCTGCTCATAATGGCCTCGGGTAACAATGTAAGTCGACCACGGGCATTCTCTGGGTTTCTCCCCTCCCTCCCTCTTTCAACACAACTCCAACACCTGCTAACCATATCATTCCACCTACAATGCAGGACCCCAAGCTCCTCTACGCCGTCGATGGCATCAAAGCCTATCACATTGCCAACGGCACCGAACATTCCCTGACCCCAAGTGGTCCCCAGACGCTATCACTGCTAATGGTTCCAACCGCCTCTGGTTTTGCCGACCCTTCTGGCATCGGCTCTGGCGAGGAGGACTTTTACCTGCATCTGCATCTGCCTCCCGAGCTGGACTTGCCCATGCCGGCCACTACTCAAATATACCATCAACCTCCGACGAGCTATCTGATTCCCCGCTGGGATCTGGGCCCCGACGCCGGCGCTTTCACGCGTATTGAATTTCCGCCGGTAGGGAGCCGTCCCGGCATCCAGGAAGATGTAGATACGTTTGAGACCATCCTTGCGCAGTGTACAGCCTTCTTGGAACGTGCGTCCCCGCCAAAGCCAAAGAGGGCCAAGACAGCGCCTGTTTCTGGGGCTTCTTCAAAGGCTAGGGAGGCAGCTGGCGAGGAACTGCCCGCCTATAATCCGGCTGATTATACCCAAGGCGAAGGCTATGTTCAGGGGAGTCTGAGTTCAAGTGGCAAAGGAGGCAGAATCGTCTTGGTGGATGAGGAGGACGGCAGTGTTATCGGCGAATTGAGCGAGGGGTTCCAAGTTGTGGAAGACACCGGCATAGAGCCCGGATCCAAAGGTATGAAACCCCTCCCCCAAACCAAAAAAAAAAAAAAAAATTACGACTTCTATAGTATCAAGAAACCTCGCTAACTGGTGTCTTGTAGACCCTGTTGAAATCGCTTTGCCCACAGACGGCTCCCAAGCCATCAATATCCAACCAGCCCCAGCATACTACGAAGAAGACCGCATCCATCCTGCATACAAAAAGTCCACAATTGTCAGTATGGGCATGAGGGCATCTCGCCTTCTCGTTACGACATCCGACTATGTCTCCCACGCCCTCCAGGGCCAAGCCGACAATTTCACCAAGAGCACGCAACCTGTCTCCAAACCTGTCACCTTTACGCCCACCACACACGCACATATCCGAAAGATCAACCAGTTCTCAAACAAAGCCGCCGGTCTGTCCGCTGCCACCGTCGGCTCCATTGCCAAAGTGGCACAGAACCTAGGGGCCAACATTTCCCGCCGCAAGGATGGAAAGGCCCGAGGCTTCGATAAAGATGGCAACATGATCGAGACATACAAACCTGGTGTGTTAAATAAGAGTTTAATGGCGTTCAATACCGTCGTAGATGGTATGGAGCAGGCTGGCCGTAGTCTACTCACGAGCACATCTTCAAGTGTCACTCAGGTTGTCGAGCACAGATGGGGCCCGGAGGCTGGTGAAGTATCCCGCAACTTGGGTGGTGGCTTCAAGAATGTGGGGTTGGTATATATCGATGTGACGGGTGTGTCGCGCCGGGCCATTTTGAAGGGTGTGGCGAAGGGCATGGTTGTTGGAAATGTCAAGGGAGGCGGCCGGGTTATTGTTGGTGGGGACGAGAAGAGCAAGACCGGACCTGTGACGGGAGGAAGTGGGAACGGAAATGGAGAGAAGAACTCATACGGCGATTCTTCGAATGTGTCTGGCGGTTATCAGGGCAATGGTAAGAAGCCTGCTTAGGAGTTGGGCTACGAATACATGAAATGGCAACAAGGGTAGGAGATATGAACATTTATAAATCGTTCAACAATGACTTGCGTAACGGATGTCGATCTTTCCAGGGAATATCAGTACCAAATAGTTTCTTTCCAAAAATAAGCCATTGTTTCATTCGTCATCGTATTATTTCACTCATTATGTTAAAGTGGTAAAAGTGGATCACGTGTCGACGTGACATCCCTCGCGTCGCGATGGCTTCAAAGCCTCGACCCCCACGTCCCCAATCGAAACACCAGCCGGGTTCCCGAGTAACCAGCTATTCTACTCTTCACATCCCGTGATATAGTTCCCTCTCGCGGCATTTTTTCGTCGATGGCAATGAAACACGTTGCATCCGCGACAAATTCCCTGTCATAACTGGAAACTGGCGCCGCCACCTTCTCGCTCAACTCATGTGTCGATACGAGCCGTTTGGCGTCTTCATTCTTACATTTTATGATATCTCAGACGCAATCAAACGCAAACGAGAAAAGAAGCTGTACAAAACATACACTTACCGGACCTTGACCTAGGCTAATGCTCCCTGCCAGTGCATCATGCTCCACGAAATCCTCCTCTCCCTCTCGGGCCACCCATCTCCTCTCCTTCATACACCTCCGTCGCCCGAAGCAGACGCTCTAGCAGGCATAACACCCCCCGAACGACAGCTCCTCTCGTCTGCCAGACACATCAGCGACCTGAATACCAACCTCATCGCCTACTCGACTGAAATCTCCACGACTCATTCGTCGACGATATGTCGAGCTGTCGCCACGGCCATAAGTTCCATCCATCTGGCTGCATTTCAGCGAAAGGTTCTGCAAGTAGAGGAGAGCATACTGAAAAATGACGCTGATTGGGTTGGGGCGTATAATATCGTGCCATTGACCGCCATCATGGGCGAATTTCAGCAGTGGACGAGGCGGCTAGAATGGCTATGGGACACGGTACAGTTCATCATGGCTAAGAACACAGATGGGAGTTCGTGTAGGGGGTCAACATTGATTGATCGATTGAGGGACGAATTGCAGAGTGGGTATCAGGACGTGGCTGCTACAGCAGAGAGTCTAGTCAGGGTCGCGGAGACGGCATGGTTGAAGCAGGTGTCCGCGTGGGTGCTGTACGGGAGATTGCCCAGTTTTGGGACTGATGATTTCTTTGTGCAAAAGCTGCATGGTTCTCCAGAGGCACGAAGCTACCCTTTTGCGTATCTTGGGCCGCAATTACAGAGACTGACTGTCAGCAGGATTATGTTTGTGTTGAGAACTGCCTGCCGTCATTTGTCACAGGAGCAACAGCGGCATCCATGATATTCATCGGCAAATCACTCAACCACGTTCGCGCCATGAACAGTACCAGCTCGTCATCAGGCGGAGTAGCACACGTATCCGCTAAGCTCCAAGAATTATCAGCCTTAACATTACCGCTAGAAAACTCCGAGTTTTCCAAGGCAGTCAAGGCCATTCGCACTTCCCTGTCACAAAACACTTTGCAAAAGATGCTTCCTCTCGCCAAAGTTTCAGAAATGATCCAGCTCCTCCGGGACTTTTTCCTCCTTGGTCGGGGTGAATTTGCCATGGCCCTCACTCACGAAGCAGACGAAAGGATTAGAAATCGCTGGCGAAGAGCAGGCAATCTCGCATACGAAAAGGACGACGGCCTGAAAAACCTCACTGTCAAGGATGGTGAAGTCGCTGCGGTTTTGAATAGGACGTGGGCTGTGCTCGTCTCTATGCAGGGCCAACACGCCGAGGAGGACGACCAGCTCGAACTCGCACGAAGCTTGATACAACTCCATCTTACAAAGTCCAAACCCCCGGCCGCACTCGTCACTGGAAGAGGTTTGGACGTCCAAGCAGCAAATGTCCTCGCTGCCTCCCCTTTCCGCAACATGCTTTTCTCCGTCCCAGCCATGCTCAGCCTCGACCTACCCTCGCCACTAGACATGGTCATCTCCCCGTCGGACCTCCAGCTCTACTCCTCCATAAACGCATACCTCCTCTCCCTTCGCCGCGCGCACATGCGCCTCACCGACCTCTGGAAAATCACCTCCCTTCGTCGCCACTACCCTTCCCCTCGCGGCGCATCTGACCACGCTGTTACCCTCCGAGAGCGCTGGTCCGACCGCTCCTGGTTGCTCCGAAGCACATGGACCACCGCCAGCGCTGCCATATTCTTCCTCGCCGAGACAGAAGCCTACTTCCAGACAGAGATCGTCAAAACCCTCTGGGACAACTTCCACGCCTGGCTTGTCCCTTCACAGCCACAGCGCTCTGGCCGCGCTACCCCCATTGACCACCATCACTCGCAGCCTCCAAGCCAGCATTCTCACGATCCGCAAACCCTGTCCACCGCACACACGCTCTATCTCCGCACCCTCACCCACCGCCTTCTCCTCACTCAAGCCTCCTTCACGGATCAATTATACGCCCTCCTCCAACATATCGACCACCTCGTCACACACATCCACCGTCTGCACTCGTTATTCACATCCCTCGACCTCGAGCACGATGCTGGCGTAGTAGATGCCTTTGTCGACCTTGAGCGCGAACAATCGCAAGTATTCAGCTCGCTGCACGATATACAACTCAAAGTAAAACAAGGTATAGACAATGTGGTTTCAGCGTTGAGAAACTTGGAAAGCGACGCCGCATTCTTGGCAGAATGGGATGGGCAGGGACTAGTAGACGACGAAGGTGAAGAGAGAGGGTATGTGCCGTGCCGTGTGGGAGGGGTTGATAGGTTGTTGATGAAGTTGGACTTTGGCAGTTGGTTGGGCGGGACGGCGTGGGAGGGCTGACCGGAGACTTGGTTTTGTCGGTGCGGGGCTTGGGGATCCGGCGGGGTGGTATTAGATGTTACATGAATAATGAATTGTTGACGGCATTGTACAGTTACAAGATGATTGCAGCACGATTGATAGAAGCCACCACGTAAAGTGGCCACATGGGAGCATGTGGGAAAATATGTGACCATTATGTATAGTAATATTATAACTATAGGATGTCATTAATATGTTGCAAATGCCGCACGCATCATGCAGGTCGTGCTAAATCTCTAAATGCAAAATTCATGGTTCCGAAAACGCTTCAACGCCCGTGTTAGTTACATTGCTCATGCCTTCATGCTGCACATCATGCAATGTATACCATACAATACATGCGACAAATCAGAACATTTTCCTGTCACTAGATTCCTTTTCTGCAATGTATTCAATATACAGTAATCTGCTTTCCGAATCGCAAAGGTTTGCTGGATTTCTGTCCGCGACGACTAAACAGTCCGCGGCTAAAGGATTGTTGAAGAGCATCGGTGCCGAAGTGGGGTTCTCTGGGTCGGAGCGGGGCCGAACCGGAAATAGCTTTCTTGGACTGCCAGCGTTCACGAATGCAATCGTCCACTAAAGTGATGAGGCCTGTAGAGACAATAGCACTGGAAAAGTCAGCTTATAGTTGCGAATAATCAAGGCGAATAAGGCAACAGACGTACTCAGCTACATCCGTCATGGCTTCAATGGTAGATTGATCACTAATCCACATATAGCAAGGCGGGATCCATCCACCAGCGCTGTCTTCATCGTCGATTTGGCTAGGACTTCGCATCTCCTGTGCAATATGGGCTACCGGCTCCTCCTGACCATCGCGGACGAGATGGAAAGAAAAGGTATTGAGCATCTTGTCAACAGCTCGCTTCCAAGTATACTTGTGGCCCCACCACTCAAACTCGTAACGCCCTGAACTGCGGCGAGAAACCTCCACACGGGCATAATTGCTGAATTCAAGCTTGATGGAATCAGTAGGAACTAGAAACTCTGATGGAGGTTTGACGGCAAGGAGGCTAGACGAGTTGTCCAAAATGTCGGTGCCGGAGCCTATCGATGCCGATGACTTGGCAGTCATGGTGCTTGCTGTGGAGGGGCGCCGCGAACCTGAGGGAGCCTTGAGGGAACAAGAGGACGAGTTGGAAGCATTTGATCGGCGGAAAGGGGCCTTGACAGATCGAAGAGCCGAGGAAACAGATTGATGAATAGCGCCACGTGAGATACCAGATGACTTGGTGTAGGCACGTTTGGAGACGCACACTTCCCTGCCCGAGTCGCGGCAATGGCGACGGAAAGAAAACTCTCGATTAACCAAATCGTACATGCAGAGATGGAAGAGCTGAACAGTAACAGGTCTGCGGTGAGAACCTAGGACAGAGCCTCGGCCGATGCCGATAAGTGAACCAGGCACAACTACCGTCTCCACGCGAAGATTCATGTTTCCGTCTGGGGTAGTGTCGTCGTGTCGAACAGATAGACGATTCATGGAGGGGAATAAGTAGCTAAAGGTGCGAGGATCTGACGGCTTGACTGTGGGATCAGTAGGTCCCGCACGGTAAGGAGGAAGGACCGGCGGGATAGAGGCATCATCGGCCCCTTGTAGACGAACGGGCTCCGGCTCATAGTTGAATAAATCATCGTCATGGCTGCCACAGTCGCGGCCTAAATCATTTTCAGAGAATCGAGTGTCATATGTATTGACAGAGAACGTAGAGTCTGAAGGCTCGGGTGGGAAGTAAGTGATGCTGGGTTGTGGGCACTCAGGCTCCTCCTCTTGTCGCATCCTCTCCTGTTGTCTGCTGTGGCGACGTGGAGAGTCAATTTCGTCGTGGTCTTGATGCCTCTGCCTTCGGTTTGAGCTGGAAGTGGTGAATTCTTGATGATACGTTGAAGCGGCGTGGTCTGTCCTTGAAAGAACATATGAAGTTGAGAGCTCGCTGTCTCGTGAGGAAGAAGCTGATGAGCCATATGAGAGTCGTGAAGATGATGGGTCGGGCATAGTCCTAGGTGCTTCTGATGCACTGCGATGCCCTTGGCGTTGCGACTTAGTCGTCATACAGTTTGAAGTAGTATACGCAGTCGAAAGTTGCGGTATCCAGTGGCGAAACAGTCGGCGTGTTTGTCGAGGTATTACGCAGACCTAAGCTTTTACCACGGTGTCATGCAGGCGAGACGGACAGAATTCACGATTGAACGAAAGAATAAGCAACCATGGACTGAGTGAGGTTGGGGTTCAGAAAAATGTAAATAGAAGTCTGGTGGAAGCGGAATAATATAAATGGGTTTGTCATCTAAGGGATAGGTGAATGCGGAATGGATGGGGACGGCTGGGGAAGGGGAGTCCTCGAAATATACCAGTTGACGTTTTACAAAAACAGGAAGTCGCGAACATGCCTAAAAGATGGACACCTCCTTACATGGACATGAAAGCAGCACCCCATACTTGGATAGTACTATGTTCCTGTCTGGTGTCAAAAGGCAAGAACCTTGCACAGACCGGAAACACGACCAAATCAACCTCAGCACCCGAAAAAAAAACAACACCGGCCAACCCTAGTAAAAACACCAAAGCCACCCAAACGGACAACCGCCGCGTCGTCGTCCTTGTCGGCTTTTTTCGTTTGTCGCAGTGAGTCGACCGGGGGTGTGGCGTGAGGGATCCAGCGCACGCTCCGGGGCATTGGCGTGGGCGTCGTCGGGTGGAGGTGGACGGCGGTAGTGTGATCTGGGCATTTCCATGCATCAGCCTCGAAAATGCCGCCAGCACTCACAAGGATCCCGGATTGCTCCCAATGGCGACCCTGCACCGAGTCTCCTCTGTATCCTGCTGCTACCCCTTGGGTATGTCTGGTCTGGTGTGCTGGCGCAGAGTCCAGTTGGGTAGTCGTCTCAGTCATCACCTGCACATTCAACACGCCCCAGCACAGTGGGCGGCCATGAATGGATGTGTCTTGCCTCAGATTTCAGTGCAAAGAGCTGATGCTCAACAGGCATAAAGAAATCCATTCAATCGGACGACGTGGACACAAATAGCCGGCATGGTTGGGCTTGTCGGCCACCCAGCTGTTTGGCACCACAATGGCTGCTGCAGCTGCCTGAGATGTCAACTGGTACGGCGCACAACCCCCCAGAGTTTCCCCAGTGGATTACTGCACCGCTTCTGCTCAGACAAACGCCGAGAGACCGAAATGTATGCCCTAAATGGGGGAAAGAATAGCCTCAAGTGCTACCAGACGTCAAAGGGGGGCTGAGCAGGTGGGCTGCGAGGCTCACCACCAGCCCCTGGTGTTCACGCCAGAGCGCTCTGCGTTCAGGTCTCGGGACATGGAGGCTCCATGCATGTGTCCTCTCAGTGAGGCAGTGGCAGTACTGAATCAAGCGCTAAAACAACCCCAAACACCACCAGGCCGACCGATTGACACGGAGGCCAGAGGGGTGTTTGGCTCATCCAACCACCAACAGTGGCAAGGCGGCCTCGGGAGAAATCGATTATCCTTCGTCTAGCGAGCCTCATGCTGGGCCGAGCTTATCATTCGCGGCTGCAGTGCTCGCAACTTGGCCTTCCACATGAAGGCTGACGGGTGCTACTAAAGTCAAGTACTTTTGGCTCCCAACGTCGTTCCCAGCGGAGCAACATGCCACAGAAGCGTCAACGTATCACCCCATCGTCGTCGGCTGTTGGCGACGTCAGTGGCCCGAACACACATACACACCGCGGCAGCCACGCGACTACGGACTGATTCATTCTGCGCGTGCAACTGTAAAGAGAAGGTCGAAATGAAGAGCCAGAAACATTCAAGCAGATGGCGATGAAGGTGCCTCTGAGCGAATCATGCGCATTGCTTGGCATTTATGAAGAGTCATCATCACCCGTTATCCTGAATTGTCAGCCTTGGCCAGCCACTACTTGAATCGCCCATCTGGATGAGAATCTAGGGCCTCCTCGGATACCCTCAGTCCAGGGTAATATTAACCTTGTGATTGTCTCTTGTCGCCGTTTCTGCCTAATAGCCTGGGTGTGTATACGGAGCGACCGAACGTGATGTTCAATCTTGGGACTTCTACAAAGCCGACAAAATGCCTCAGATCAGTATTACCGTCCAACGTGAAAAGGAAAGGCCCGTATCTAAAGTCATGGCCAAATTTTCTGGTGGCTTCTAGGTGTAACCACCACTGTTTTTCTCTCTCTCTGGCCTCTCCATCAGCTATTCTACCATTCCTTCTCGGCCACGGAGAATAAGCCAAGGATCGGGCGCCAATCCAAATCTCCGCACACACCAACTAGCGGTAGCTTCAAAATAGTGGCAGCAAGTTTCATCAGTAATGACCACGATGCGGTGTGAGCCTGGTGCCAAAATGAGCCGTCTACGGAGTACGTCTACCAAGGTTTCGCTTCCCTGCCACCAGACGGCACTTGAACATCTGACATGATGAATGGCACCAGTTGGCTTTGGAAATACAGTCTTGGACATTTGCGCGAGACATGCATGTTGGTGGCTGTTTGGCATTTACCCGTCAATTCTAGCATTTTCCCCGGAAACAAGCAATCATTTGCAGGCCATGGCATGAAGTGCAACGTGTTGAAATAGGGATAACGAACCGGATTCAACCGCGCCACGGTGCAAAAGCCTGCATCATCAATCCCCTTTCGTCTCGTGACATTGACAAGCCGCAGATGACTTCAGCACTCGGCCAAGGTCCTTCCACACTTCAGACATGTTATGGAATCGAGGTAGAGACGCTCTTCACATAAAGTATGATGCCTTGGGGCCTTGGATTGACGGCCAGTCGCAACAGGTCAACGAGTGCATATTCCAGTGAGCCTCGAGCTGTCTTTTACTCGCCCCCATGTTCCACTGCCGCCTGCATGCGTCAAAGTCTTACATTTTTTGCACCAAACTTTGCACATGGATGGGGTTCATCCTCTTCACCCAGGAGGCTTGACAGGTGTTGTGCCATGTTGTCATGACGTCTGGTTCAGCATGGCATCGACAGTTAGCGGGTCAATCGCCTAGCGCAAGACTCTTGTATGTCCAGTATCATCTGCTGATGTCAGCATACGTGTGACGACGAGATGACCGTCAACGCCTTTCTTGGATTACGCAAGATGGGTGACGGCAACGCTTGACTACCCAGTAGCTGCTTCGAACTTGCCCTGTCACCATTACTTTGTAGATGCCATCCTCTGGGCACACTACTTGATGATTCCGGGGGCAAAAAGAAGAAAGAAAGAAGCTGATTTGCGAGTAGGTCGTAATCCCTCGGTCCGACTGCTTGTTAATCAGATTGAATTGTCAGGTCACAAGTACGTACGGGAGCAACGACGCCGTCTAACAAGACGCATGGCCTTGGCAAAGTCAGTTAAACTCTCATTTCAAATCAGTTCACTCGTATTCATTCCGTGTCCGAGCCAATACCATGCTTGGTGCCCTACAGCCCAACAACGGACTGAATTGAAGATGATGCCGCCACCTGCAACGTCTACCAGTCAGTAGGCGGTACAGGTGGTGTAATTCGTGTCGGACGCTGATTCGCTTCAATGTTTGCTTGCTCGCCTCGTGCTCGCTTCGTCCCTTCGTCCCAGGTGCTCTCTGCGTTGCGGCATGTCGCGGGCTATCCTATTGGGTCGCGGCGAGGGGATTCGCAGACCAATTGCAATCTCGATGCTCCGGCATACCTTCGCAGCCCCCGTAGAGTCCCGTTCGAAAATCGATGCCTCTTGTTGCGCGTGAAGTGCCAATACGCCCCCCGAGCGTCCCCACAGGTAGGCCGCCACTTGGCCGGCACCTTGGTGGTCGAAACAGGGCCGATGAATTGCGACCAATATGTTTGCCACCGACCCAACCGATATACCCAGGGATGCCCTGCCCACCTTCATAGAACCCGCCGGCATCGTCCCTTTTATTCTCGCAAACATGGCTAGATAGTTGGGAAATCGTCTCGGTCCTAGAACTACAAAAAGAGTACGTAGCTCAGACAAGCAGCGAGGCTATCCAACCTCACCTCCCGCGCCCTCGTCACCAACATGATATATCACAGCCCGGCCGCCTCACGCAGAGCAAGGCTCGTCATCAATCCGCCGTATTCGTATTGTCACCTCACCGTCACCCCCACGCCACGAAACGTGCCCTTTTTTTTTTTTT